CAACCCATCCACAGTCCACTCGCACCTCTCCCAGGACTGCCCATCACGGGCCACCACCAACCACTGCCCTCACTGGGCCCGTTCAGGGCCAAGTGCAACCTGCAGCCCAGCGACGCCTTCCAAACGGCTACCGATCTTCATCACCTTCCACTCATCTCCATGGACCCCCACATTCCGGGCCCCACAAGGTCCCCCCTCCAGCTGGGCATCCCAGGGGGCCCCGCAAGGGCCTGCATGAACCCTACAGCGAGACGGAGGACGATGACTGGTGCTAGCCTCTGGGGACGGGGGACGGGAGTAAGGAGTAAAAACTGATCCATGGACCAAAATTAAAAAAAAAACAAAAACAAGAAGCTCCTGAGGAGAGCGTTGACTGCCAAGGGAAACAGTGACTTTTAAATAGTTCTCAATTCGATGTTTTTCTCTCCTCTGCTGCTCGGTGTGTCCGACCAAAGCTTGGCTGGAGGAGGGAACAGGCGTCAACATGAGGGGATGAAACTCGGACGCTGAGGCAGGGTCTGGAGAACGGTGGTGTTGGAGGAGGTACCAAACTGCCTCCACTGCCTCCTCGTGTTGTTGTTGCGTTCATCCGTTGATGCTTCATTCGACCAACCTCAACCCAGTTTTCGTGGATGCAAGCAGAAGAGCTGATGGTGACACCGGTCGCTGTGTGTCTTAAATTCTGCCTCTGGCAGTCAGCTACAGCCACTTACACGATGTCAAGAGTTGCGACTCGACAAAAGACACTTCAGAGTCAGAGACTAGAGAACAACTCTTTTTCTTCTTCTTCTTTTTTTTTCTTTTTTGCTTCTAAAAGCTAACGTCTGTTCCGTTAGCTGCAGAGAGAATCTGATCCGACGCTCCCAGCCACAAACTGTATATTGATGAGTTTTATCATCTGTGTTTTTAAAATGAGAACAAAGTTGACAATGAGCCCTCCACCTGTATGAGGTGAAGAGGCCATGTGGGTGGGAGAGTCGCGGAGTGATGCAGGGGGTTGACGAGTCCTTTCTGTTAAAAACCACAGGGGTGTTTTAAAGATGTTTACCACAGTCCCTGGAGAACCTAGAAACGAATAAAACCAACCTCAACCAATGACCTGTATGGGGGAAAAAAAGTTGGGAAGTTGGGTAAAAAAAAAAAAAAAAAAAGAACCAACAAAAACAACTGTATTCTGCAGTATTTCTTCTATTCCTGCAGTTGCTTCTTCTTTCTCCTCTTCTACTTCTTGAAACATTGAAGCTTGAATCTTTTGATGCAGTTGCACTTCACACAGCTTCGTTTTTTGTTTTTTTGGTTTTTTTTTTTGTTTGTTTTTTAGACTTTCGGAGTTGTACACCCTGTGGAATCCTGCATGAATGATACAAAAAAAATGATAATAGCAACAACGAAAATCTACTGTATGTGGGGGGGAGTGTTTCCTCAGCATTTCCGTTGTGCTCTGTAAGGGGTTTCTCTTTGTTTTTAATGTAAAAAAAGAGCCTTTCTGTTTTTCTCTCTCTCATCTGTATGACATTCCTCTTTCTATACATTCATATCTAACGACAGAGGGATGCAGTGGGAGCAGATACTTACTGTATGCATATATAGAAGATAAAAAAAGAAGATTAATTTTTTTGCTTGCTTCTCTGTATGTTCTGTGCCAAATGCTTGCCACTGATACAGCCAGAATTGCACATATTTTTGTGGAAGTGACTTTTTTGTAACTAAAGGAGATAACCTACAATGATATACTGGGAAGCAGGGTAAAGCTGAAACATAATGGTGTAGGTGATGATGGTGCACCAGTGTGATAAATTAGTAACATCTCTCAAAGTCTTCCAGAGGTTTGGGTCTGAAAAAAAGAAGAAGAATTCAGATAGAAAGAGACCAATAGAAAGGCGGAAAAAGAAGAGAAACTCTTCATTGTTGTTGTTCTGTCGATGACTGTCACGATGGATGGTTAATATGACAACACGAATATTGTGATAATGACACGTATTCCCCATACTTGGTTGTTTATTTTCTGTGTATTTCATTTGTTTGCTCAGAAATTCCCCCCAAAAAAACAGGTCAATGAGCTAAAAAGGTTTAAACATTGAATGAATTAGATTTGAAGACTTTAATTTTCCTCTTAATCACAACGAATTCACTTGCGCCAGAACTACCACATGTGGCCACGCAGCGGCAGTGTAGGACTAACTGGCCCTGTGTCTTCTTGTTCAGAGCTGTTAGCGAGGATCGTTGTACCTTTTACCGTGTGAAAACACAGGTCACGGAGTGGCACAGTGAACACTTTTTGGAAAAGAAATCCTGAGCTTTATCACCATCAACGAAACAGGGAACGAAAATGTAAGGGTTTTTTTAATTATTATTTTTAATAGTTTCTTTATTTTCATCTGCGTGTTTCTATGTGTGCCTCAAACTACCACTTCCTGTCAATAACACACGTCACTGTCGGCCCTGTTACTCTAATTACTAATGTTAATGTTATTGGGGTTTTTTTAATTGTTTGAACAATATTTTACCTGGCGGCCTAACACCTGTTGACCAGAGAATGCACCGGGAAAAAAATTTTAAAAGAGAAAAAAAAACTGCCTCAGTGTCTTTCCAACTTCAGTGGAATGTCACAGACCATTGTTTTTCACATCACTTAACTTAAAAGCAGAAAGCACACTAGGTATGTAGCTACGGTGGTGAGGTTTGTGTGTGTGTGTCTGAGAAAAAGAAAGAGGAAGAGGGCGTGTGTGTGTGTGTTATGCTTTCTGTATTGTTTCCAAAAATCTTTTTGAATTTTTAATGTTTAAGTCAAATCTTTGTTAGCGTGTGTGTGTGTGTGTGTGCGTATGTTAGAACCCCTCCTCCCCCAAAATAGACCCCTTGTAAAACCCCTAAACATTCACCATCCATCTTTGTGTCTTTGCTGCAGTGAAATCCACTAACATGCTGATTCACCACACAAAGTCTTCAAAAAGCAATGTAAAGCCGCTACGGAAAAAAAAAAAGAAGAAAATTAGGTACAAAAGATTAAACAAAAAAAAAATCCTAGTTCCAGAAATGCATGTGCTATGTGCATGCCACACCGTGGGGTAACAGTCACCTTCAGGACATAAAAGAAAAAGCAGAATAATGAAAACCAGAGGAATACAAAAAATATATATAAAAATAGATAGGTAGATGTTTTTAAAAAAAAGAAAGAAAAGAAAAAGCAATGTTTTCTTTTTTCCTTCTATTTTTGAGAACAAAAAAGTTAAAAAAAAAAAAAAAACCTTTGTGAGACTGGTAAGAGTCTCATTTTTCTTCTGTTACATGGGTTTGAGGCACAACACAACCATGTTCAGGACACTACAAAAGAACTGTTTTTATTGAAAAAAAAATAATATATGAAGAAAAGAAAGTGCAGTTCTGAATAAAAAAAGATATTCTCCCTCCTCCTGTTTGTGGGGGTCAGAGGTTGCAGGAGAAGGCCACGTCTGATGATGTATTCATTACAACTGGCTCTGGAAAATTACGATCTAACTCCTCCTCTCTCCCCTCTCTCTCTCTCTCTCTCTCTCTCTCTTTCTCTCACACACTATTATCTGTCACACTCTTAACCCGTCTCACACTATTTCTACCAGTGCATTTTGTAATTCCAAACAGAACTCTTCCTTAAGAATAAACTCCAGAGAGAATGCACGTCTGGTCTCATTATTGTCCTCCTTATTATTTTATTTTGGTCCCAAAATGTAATTTCCTTTAATAGTGACAATTTAATATTAAAATATTACACAACCAAATTCTAATTCCTTAATATGCACCTTTATTGTGATGCCCTCAAAGTTCTGTAGGTGAAAAGTTGAACTATAGAAAATGAGATGATTTTTTTGTCCTCCATTTGTACAGTATTATATTTCACTTTTACTCTAGTTTTTCTATATGTTATCTAACTTTTTTATGTTGAAGACCAGATCTACATTCATGTGTTATTGCTGAATTTTCTGACCAATATTTCCAAAGTTGACAAATCATATATTCAAAATTACATGAATAATAATCATAATAATAAATACAGAGTTTATTTGGGAACCAAAAACGCTGTGTATGGGGATTATTCCTGAAATGATCTGTAGATGATATTTGATTGTTCTATTTCTTAGTGTGGTTTTGAGTTAATCCATTCAGTAAACTGACAGCTGGTAAAATATTCAGACATGTAATTTCATTACATATTTATATTTTTAATTTTAGGTCTGATCAGCGAGCTGGGAAAATGTCAAACTTCTTCAATCTTTTTATGTTTAGGACATGCATGTGTACTGATACTAAACTGCATCTGAGGGTGGGGAAGCAGACAAGACATGCTGAGACGGCAGAGAGAGTGTGTGTTTATGTGCATGACGTGTGTTTTTTCACAGGCACATCCAGACGGTTCCGGCCCCTCCCCTCAGCTCCATGTACACTGACTGGGAGCTCAGGTTTCAGCCGGAAGAATGTGCAGCTCCCTGAGGGCCTCATGGGGCCTGACACGAGTGCACTTCCCCCCACATTCTCGACTTCATTTTCCTGTGTCTGCCTCCCTCCCCCCCCCCAACACAAACACTGCTGATAAATTCCTTTCATACTCCCCCCACAACACTTGTGTTTTGGATCAAACCAGGGGAAAATCACAGCCATAAAAGTGAGTAATAACAGTGTGTGATAGAACATCACAGACTGACGTTTTCTTGTTCTGGTGGATTAGAAATAATCCAACTGAACCCGTGACTCTGAGGCTGCAGCGTTTGACCTCTGGTGGTGGTGGTGGTCAGACCTCAGCGTGTGAAAAAGCAGACCCCGAGTGTTCCCACTGTTTCAGGCTATCCACTCAATTGTCCCCTGCTTTTGTTGTGCAAATGGTTGTGGGGGAAGGAGGCTGACTCCTCCACACCCCCATCACACCCTGACCTAACTGATCCATCTTATTTACATTCATATTTCAGCCTTATCATCATTGACTGATCCATGTGTCTCCACCAACAAAAACATCACGCAGAAATTCCTTGAATATAAAACGTGTTTTTTAATAAATACTGAGGTAGTTGTAGTCATTGAATGTTGAAAACACATCGACCATCATCATCATCATCATCTCCTCCAGGAAGCATTTCAGCTTCTACACACTCACAATGTGACAATTGCACTCGTGCTCACAGATATGTTCGAGATCACAATTGGTGTTTATTTAAGACCAGGTTCTTTGAATTGAACCCGTGTTTGTGGCGATAACCCGGAGCAGCTCCCACAGTTCACTGCGGTGGAGCCTTTTTACAGGCCAAAAGTTCCTAGCACGACTTCACGTCGACTTCCGTGATTCCTGGAACATGTCCGGGCCTGTTGGCAGCCATGTCTTGTGGCCCTGGGTGCGGAATCCTCCGTCTCTCGAGACCAGGACCCGCTGCTGACGCGACCAGGTCTACCCTGGACCGGGTAAGAAAGTTCAATTCCCCGTGAAGTGTTTCACAGCGAAGCTGAAGTGAAGTGTGTTCAACACGCCGCGACCGCTCTGTGTAGAGTCATGGTGGGGGATGGGTGCGCTGCCAGTTCACTGCTGCACTTCATGTAGTCCATTAAAACCGGAGTAACGGTCAGCTGATGAAGGCAGTTTCCTTGTTCCAGTTTTGCCTTTTTACAAGGCAAAAAGTCCGGCTCTGCTGCCTCTCTGCCGCGTCTTTTCCTGGACTGTTGGGCTGAGCCGTTGGGACACTGGTTCTCCTTGTTTTGAGCTCCGGCTCTCTCCTGCTTTTCCTCTTCCTTATCTCCCACGGATAACATGAGAGGGTTTTCGTGGGTCAACAGAGCAGGGCCCAAGAGGTCCACACGACTGGCCTCCGTTGTTCCTTGGGTAACGGACTGTTGTGTTGGTGGTGGTTGTTGACATTCGTTAACAACACTTTCTGTTTGGACCTGGGCCTCGTGATAAATGTCCCGGGCGGACTTCATGACCAGAGTCAGCAGCAGGCTGCGGTGTAGTCTCAGACCTCCACGCTGGGTCCTGGAGCTGTAGAGTTTCCCTAGAGCCACTACCATGATCCTCTTGGCCTCGGCGCTGACCTCCATGTCCGTCGGTTGTTTTGAATAAAATTCCCTTTCACTTTTACCGTGAGATCAAATATTCCCACCGCTAATTTCCAAAGCGGACACAATACAACCGGTCTTGACGACCGGGAGACTTACTTATTACCTCGCCCGCGTCACTGTGTACGTCATAGCTCATACTCCCCGCCCATTGGTCACATGTTTCAAACAGGCAACAACTGGTCAAACAACTGTCTATTTTAAACTCGCAGTGTCTCGGGTCAGTGTGGAACTACAGCGCGAGAAAAAATGTAAAGAACCTCAAATAACGAGTGCAGTATTGCGCTGTATAACTCAACATATACTTTATTGTCCCCCAAGGGTAATTGGTTTTAGTATTTAAAAAAGGCACATAGACAACTTAAGACATATAACAAAATAAACAACAATAAAATACAGTCTATACACAACGTAATACATCAGCAATCTAATTATATGATAAATAATATAGTAAAATACATACGGCCCTGGGTTAATACTAATATAGAGCTGCAATTGTACTTTGAGTGCAGATTTAGCAATGTTACAGTACAAGACCAAGCAGCAAATAAAAAATGCCGTTTAGCAGACTTACAAGTAAAAACAGCAGAGACAAATTATTTAATATACATGTAAACAAGTCAGTCTCTATCAGAATATATCCATTAACTACTAGTTCATAATCTCAGTTGTTCCTGGAAGCACTGTTTTCCCGTTTGCTGTGAAGACAATGATCATCAAACACGTAATGTCATTTTATTTTCAAGTTCCTATTTTTTATTTTGTGAAAGTAATATAAACATGTTGGCAGCAACTGGCAAATCTGATTAAGCAAGCAGATTAAGTGTTTGGTGTAACAGATTTTCTCTGCATGTCTTTTTTAAGACACACCTGGAATAAATGCTGTGATTCCACAGCCCCCAGTTAAGTGGAGCACAGTGTGAAGGCTTTCTTCCGGACTCACCCTTCCCCCAGTGTCTTACTTCCTTTGGCAGGGAAATGGAAAGAGGGAGGAGGAGGGAGATTGTGGGTTAACAAACAGATGCCCATATTAAGCACATCCTGCTTCTGTAGCGCAGACGGAGGAAAACCCATGACGTCAGCGGGAGCCCTTGTTTCCTGAAGCCATTTTAAGTAACAGTAGTAAGGACTGAGAGTGTCTGCCACTTCCCCCGGCCCAAATATGGGCAATAAAATCCATTCTTCCCACTCTGTGTTGTGAATACAAATGGTGCAATAAGTTAAAATGGCTACACATTATGTAGGGTAGAGCTGCGCTAAGTGTTGTTTAGGGTGGTTGTAAAGAAACTCCAAAACCTTTAACTTAAAAAAAAAAGTAATTTATTTTTTAAAAAGTATAAAGTTAACAATTTATTAAATATAAACAATTGATTTAAACAAAATTATATTGTCAATATCATCACACGCCTGCCTGTCAATGTTTGTCTTTATCGGCGTTTTTAATTGTCTTTCTTTTCTAATGAGTATAACAACCCACAAAATTCCCGAGTTGAATGTACTGTATTCTATCGGCGGTGAAATGGTGCCGCCGTGTGGTACAGTTATAGCATTGCATAAAATGCAGATTTACTGAAGGACTATAGCAAGACTATACACTACATGTGGCTACAGCGTCGACTGGTGCCTGCTATATCCAACATTACAATCAGTTATTTATTTATTTATTTGGCGTCATTACCACTTTTATTTCAAAACGTTTGGTGTTGCTGCTAGTAACAATAACGGATTAACATAACTACTGTAATGTAAAAAAACTATTGTAAAAGTAGTAATATATAATGAAAAAACGTGTTTTTCTTATTAAAATTTAAAATGTTTTAGAAATTTAAAGAAAACATGTTTTTTACCAAGGCAAAAGTCACTGACCATCGACACGCTATCGGGCCTGTTAGTGTCTACAAGCTAACATGAAAATGTCTTGATAACATTTTATGTTTATAATTACGTTAAAAAAACCAATGGCGTAAATATTATTTTATTTATTCATTTTAAAACTTACAGGTACTTAAAATATTCACATTTGTCTGATACGTGCGTTGTATTCATCTGATGTACATATCGACGTGAACGCTAAGTTATCTTTAGTACTGTAGTGAACGGTATATTCAAGCTGTATCGTTTCATACACTATTGTACCACTAGAGGGCACTAAAGCACAAAGTAAATAAGCCGGGCATACAAGTATTTTATCCCTTGTACGTATTTACCGGTCTAATGTGAATTGCTTTTCAAAACGCAAATTACTTTAGTTTATCAGCAATCTTCACACCGAAAAAGACTTCAGGCAAATTTGACACAAAAAATTACGATGGTGGTTTGAATATTTTTAATACCCTGAAGATACGTCTTTACACGTGAACGCCTCCAGGTGGGGGCATTGAACTGTGCAAGACACGATAACTATGATTAGAATAGATATTCCTGTGAAAAAGAAAAAGAAAACTCGAACAATGAATCTTTGAAACATTAAATAATCATTTGAAAGTGTTGCATATTCAGTACTCCGCTTTAATGCCGTCAGTATGTCCATTTTATATCCTCTAAAATAATTTTCAAAATTTATATTTTAGTCAATTTATCGTTGAGTAGAATTTACAGATTTATTTTTTGTTTTTAGTCTCTTGGTGTGTTTTCATTTGCCAACTGCTGTTAATTTGAACTTAAAATGAAGACTAACGGACAGAGAACCAAACACAGTGGCAGCCAGCAAAAATAACAAGCCACACGGAAATTGTTACAAATCTTTTATTAAGATATTCATTACTGAATCCATTTTGACATGTCATCTATGATTTGTTTTTTATTTTATTTTAATTTACAGTCGTTAATGTGCAATTACTTTGATGACGTTTGGGTCACAGTTACAGGGCTTTCACAAAGTTATTGGCACTTGGAACACAGAGAAAAAAAAAAGGAAATGAGCAGTACAAGAGGTCAACTGGAGCTACTGGGTTACAGAAGGCAAGGCGCAGGGGCAGACATGGGCCGACCGGTTACAGCACAGGTGGTGAAGAAGCGCTGTTTCTGGATAAATATATATTCCTCATGCTGTGAGCGCACAACAAACAAAGTGACCTCTATGTGTATGTGTGTGTGGTTCTATATATAATATACAGTATTAATAGTCTATACATGTATATAGCCATATTTATATATGTACTGTTAAGTGACAAGAAGGTTCCCCATGCCATGCCACAGCGTGTCCATTCAAGTGTGTAGATGCACGTGTTCTGTCGAGCGAGAACACGTGTTTGTAAATTACAGAAATGTCATTTTTTGTCCGTAGAAGAAACAGTGACAGTAACTCGGTTAACGCTCACACACCTGTCGCAGACGTGGGCCGTCAGTGACACACTTATACCTGTTTTTAGAGTCATTGTGAGTGGAGGGTAATTGTTTTCCCACAGAATGTTTAGGTCATCTCTTGACCTAAACTTTGACCTGAAAGCAGTGTAGGTGTTCAGGGTGTTCTGACCCGGTCAGTGGTGTGATGTCAGTGTTGTGTGTGTGTGTGTGTGTTCAGTCATAGCCAGTGTTTGTACTGAGAACAGGCTAACATGACTTCATGTGACTTTTACGTTGACATTTCAGTCAGAAGCTAAATAAGTCACTTCATCTTTATCTCTTATCTTTTTCAGGATTAAATAAGTCACTTCATCTTTATCTCTTATTATTCTTATTCAGGGTTAAAAAAAGCAAAGACTTTCCTCAATTAACTTTAGCACAATTAAATGTTAGCTTTGCCCTGTTGGTTAGAGATTTTCCCTCAACAATGAGCAGTTTAGGAGACGCTGCTGAAGTAGTCGTGAAGCACTTCCTTTTCAGAAAAAAAAAAGTATTTAATTGTTGCACTTCTTTAAAGGCCAAAAAGACTTGGTTTGACCACATTTATGTCCACGTTGGACAAATTAATGACTTTTGTATCATCTATTTAAATCGATTACAACAAACTGCAGTTCTACTGTTAATGACTCCAGCTGGTGACGCGCTCCCTATCTTTGAAAACTTAAAGATTCACCTTAGTGTCATTGTATTTCAAGTGAACGCCACTGTTTACAACCCCCCCACCTTATACTTTATATTTAACCCAAAAATGTTGATTTGCAAATATTTAATATGTCCGTCCTTTCACTTCACTTTTATTCTTAAACTTGTGCTGCTAATTATAAACAGCTGCTGAACACACTTTTATCGCAGTGATGATAAAGATCTGTCCAAAGTTGAATCTCTGTCTCCTGTGTGTCATTTAAACAGCGTTTTATCTCCAACAGTGAGGGCAGAGGTCGGCGATCTTTAACACCTTTATCATTTTACCACTAAATAAAAATTCACCGAGACCTGCACACACACTGCCAACGGTTTACAAGAACAGTGCAGTGCATGAAGATTAAAATACTGTGGTCATATTACAGAGGTTAGATTTAGACGAAGGAAGTGGTTTCTAGTTCTTCTTCCTGTTGTATCACAGGAAAAAAAAACAGATTTCTACAGTTTAAGAAATTCCAACACTGCTGCTGAAACTAATCTTAGGTAGAAGAGGACAACGATGTTACGTTGTTTTTTCAGCAATTCGCTGACACTACCTGACGTCGTGCGTCTTCTTTGTATGTAAATCACGGTGAATTTGGCCCAAAGTTTTTGCTCCGTTTTTATCACAAATACCAAATATCATTCTACATGCAGCCGACACACAGGGGCCCAGGGGCCACGGGTCTCAGACCTCTTCCCTTGGGTGAAAATGTTGTAGTAATTGTGAGTTTAGATATGAATATTTATTTCTACTACTATTCCCACAATTCTGCACTCTGCTGCCCCCTGCGTCTGGAATCAAAACTCTTCTGAACCTTGAGAAGTCATGTGATTTTGGCCTTAAATGTTACGACTACTTCACACTGACTAAAACCGACCACACAGTGACCATTTCAGTTTGGACACTTCATGTGAAAACCGTTGTCATTTGTGATATGTGTTGGTTATTTTTTAAACTGTCTCCAACCTCGTCCAATGAAATGCCGCCCGTCCTGACCCTCAGTCAAAACAGATATTTATTCAAAGTGAGGCTTTCCCGGTTCAACTAAAATTATACTTGATAAAGAAACCGCCATTGTTCAGCGATGTCACAAAACCGTATGCATAAGTCCGACGGCCCTGGGAAGACCGTGCTCTCCGCATTTAAACTACAATCTCTGAGGTATGAGTTCTGGGGCTTTCAGTTGTGTGAAAATATTCAAGTTTTAACCGGCTGAGGTTTTTAGCTGTAACGTCATGTGATATCGAAGCAGACCACTTCACTGACGATGACCGACAAAGTATGAGCCACGAAGAAATGTAGTCATGGAAAATGTCACAAAAACATGAATTTTCTTTGTTTGTTTTCGTGCAGAAGCGCTCTCTGTGGAACACACACATGGATGCGTTTGTGGAAGTGAAACACGACACCAGCTGCGTGAAGGACAGGAAGCACAACAGTCTTCAAACATACTCAGGAGGTAAGAGGTGGGGGAGGTAAGGGGGCGGTGCCTGTTTGGCATCTACAGTCAAATGCAAATTTGAGGTTTTATTGTCATTATACTTACAAGTACTGCATTTTTTTTTGTTCTTTCCCCAATGCTCCCTGTCAAAGCACCTTAATGAACTCATTCCAAAACAAATAATAACAATAATATTAAAGTAGAGAGAGCTCTACCTCACAAGGTCAAAATCAGATCAATCGATTCAACTTCAGTTACTTTTTACTTTGAACCGTGTCAGTCTCTAGAAAAATGAATCTTTTTTCAGAGAGACATCACTCGGTCAGTTTTTTTTGTTTCTCCTCAGTCATGAATTAACCTATAACCAGAATTAAAAAAAAAACAACTTTCAAATCTACTCGTATTCTTCCTTCAGGAAGTCACCATCCACTCAGGGAGATTTTTCCAACACGTCACGATCACACATCCAGCAACACTTGGGACACGACTCAACAGTCTGGGTGGTTATTTACAATAGGACTTTTGTGCCACGTTTCTAGGCGAGGAACACAGGGCAGACAAGGACATAAAAAAACAAAAAAACAAATTTCACCTAAAGGGATTCAAATGCTACACACATTTTCTTTTTCATTTCTAAAAAGGTGCACAAACCACTGGTTCTTGTCATTAAGGTGCGGGAACCTGCACCTCCTCTCACGGAGGGTGCAAAAATCCTAGCTCTAACTCCAAAGAAACTCAACCTGTTCGGAGTTTCCACACTTAAGGTGGCATAGTAGACACGTAAATAAACTACATACCAGTATAAACACAGGCCAAACATGGAGATGGAGAGTACGCCTCACATGGCATGTACCATAAAACCTGTCTGACTCTGGCAAACTCTTCTCTATGATGTGACGACTTCCACTAAGCTTCTGGTACTGATATCGTTTTTAATTAAAGGCACATTCTACTATTCCACTATTATTCCATAAAATGTCAGCAGTCCTTTTCTGTTTCAATAATATTAGTATGATTAAAAAAATAAACTGTTAGATCCACAAAGCCTTCTTCCTATTTCTGCAGGTGAACGCTGCTCGTTCCAAACCTAACAGGTCGAGCCTTCGATCTCGTTTATGCAAACAGACGATGAAATGTTTTCAAAAGTAGCAGTTCAACTGCCCATTCCATCACACTGCGCTTACAAATGAAAAAAAAACAAAACAGAAAAAATCCACCACCGTGGGACCAATGACGAGAGTGCGTTCTTGCAAAAATAATCACATCTCCTTGTTTGACAAGACCTCGTTCATTAAAACATGAAGATCCAGATTTTAAAACAAACCTTTTCACTCTCTACGTCCTTCACACCATACCAGGCATGGGCTATCATACATAAATATAGTTTGTCTTTGAAAAATAACATGACCCTCTCTGATTACCTGCTGCCAATTCAAACGTCTCTACAATCTTCTCGGTAAAAAGCTTTTCCCTCGTCTCTGGATCACGTTTCAGTTCACAGACAAACGTGCTAAAAATGAGGAAACCAGGAGGAGAAGATCTACTAGTGTAAGACACTGCACAGTGAAACGCTTGGATGGGACTCGGCGATCCGCAGGGAGGTTATGTGGAGTAAAGAATACTTGCAGGGTGACGTGTGGAAGATGGGAGAGGAGGAAGAACAAGTAGTGTTCGTGTTTTTTTAACTCCAAATCCTTTGTCAGTGGAGCCCAGTCCTCTGGAACACGTGGTGTCAGTCAGGGATGGAGAACGCCGACACTGACGTCGACACTTACATTCAATATTTTTTTGCCACCTCTATTGCTCATCACTCCCTCGTCTCCTCCTCTAGGCTTCACCAAAGTTCCCCCAGACGCCTGCATGTCAGGGAATGTATTCATTTATCAACAGTGGCTGTTTGTACACACTTCAAAAACACACAAAGGGGGAGGCAGAGATCGGTTAGGGTGACGCCAACTCTCTCTCTCTCATTCCTCACCTTTGTCCAAAGTCTTTTTATACGTCAGGTTAAAACCAACCCCAGCATGTAGCATAGACAGTCATATGGTAGATATCAGTGTGGGCTAAAGAGTGAGGCGGCAAGCAGAACTGGGGTGTACTGGTGTGTGTGTGTGTGTGCGCACATGTGTGTGTGTGTGTACGTGTGTGTCACCACATTTCAAACTTCCCCCAACACAGTGTTTAAAATAATGGTCCTCCGTCTCCACCAACACCTGGTAGAGATTCACCTGAAGAGCCGCCCGACTCCACTCCACCAGTACTGCCAGCTCCCTCCAGGGAGGCGGGGTCGAACGCCTGATCAGCGCCCAGGGCATCCTCCTCCGTCTTGACGCCGTCAGGAAGGAAAGCGGAATAAGCGTCGCTCTCTGCCATCAGTAGCTTCAGCTTTGGGATCCAGCTCTTGCGGACCACACGCCGGGCATTGGTGCACATGTCAGCAGCGATGGCGTTCATCTCGCTCTCTTTGAAGCTGGTGGCAAAGTTCTGGCAATAAACTGAGGCGGAGAAGGAACAAAAGGCATGGCCTTATTGGAGGAGCTACCGAAAAATCAGATTAAGAAGCGCTCACAAGTTTGAACTGGAACATTCACTTCATAATCCACTGAAGACAAAATAGAGCTTGTAAAATAAAAACTTTTATCCCATCATCCTCAGTTACTATTTTGCTGCTAACTCTATTTGTGCATACAAAAGATTTCACATTACCTCAAACCCACACTTTTACCAAATTAGCTACAACAGTTATGGTGCATATATAAATATATATAATAAAATGAACGTTTGCTGTCAAATTTTCATTCCTATTGATCAATTCAGTCATTAACCATAATGAATACAAATTGAAAACTTGAATTATTAATTAATTAGTAATCTATTAGTTATTAATAAAATACAAAACAAACAGATTACCACATTGTTAATGTGTTAATAAATAATTTATAGTCATCAATAAATATGTTTCTTTATGTGTCTTTTAAAGGTTAGTTATTTCAGTTCAAGTGTTGGCTCTTTTCAGCAATAAACTCACACTCACTGTTTACATTCACCCTGGATGACCTTCTGTACTGAGGGCGTAGCACACGTTCTGAACTCTTACCTATGGAGTATAGGTTGCCCTCTAGTGGTCACTGCGAGTTACTACCGTTCAAACCAAATCTTTTAGTGAAAAGAGCTGAATAATCTGACATGTTGTTTTTAAATTTAGAACAAAATTGTCAAATATCATGTTGTAATTTGCATGACAGTGTCATGTTTTTGTCCAATATGCAACTCCTGTTAAACCCAGAAAATAAAACACTAAAACTCAAGCATGTTTAAGTACCGTAAATTAATAAATCAAATGGCACTTCTGCATACAGATTGATCTTTTTCACTATGTTCTATATTCAATGGCCCAGAATCTTAAACGATAAAGAATGATTCATTATCATTTTTAGCTTCACTCACATTTAACTGCATGCAGGACTCTATTGTCCAGCGGCTTGCGGCTCGGGTCGTTGGTGGATGACCGTATGCCAGTGCCGCAGCTATTGGCCAAAGTGTTCCTGCAGCATCAAAATAAAATCAATAAAACACAGAACATGGTAAAATTAAAAAAAAGCACTTACAATTTTACTAGAAATTAATGCTGAATTTTCCACTAAACACATGCTAAAGTATATAAACACCGACAGAGACTCAAGGAACAAACCTGTCGAAAAAAGCAGCCAGCAGTCTTCTCAGCAGCACCTTGTGTCTGGTCCCTGCGCTCACATGACAGTTCATTAGCTGGGCTCGTGATATATACACAGACGTTCCTGCAGCAAGTGCAAATGAAAGACATCAGCCATTAAACTTGAATCACAATGTGCCACCGTAGCCCACGACAACTGTGTTCTCACTACAGCAGGGAATGTTTCACCATCTCTGTTTACTGTGGCTACAATCTATTTTTTTTCCGTGTAAAATTAGCATCTTCATCCATTGGTAAAAATTAATCTTGCTTTTCCCCCTTGATTCTCTTGTTGTTGTTTAAATTCTGTATCTGTCACATGTAGTTTATGGAGAGTTTGTTACCGAGCCTGTGAGATAACAGCGACTGTCACGACATGACCTTGACATATGCACACAATGAATCACATGTGCAGTCGTGCAACGCAATCTGCATGCCAATGCCAATGCAAAGCCCAGTCATCTGAGGACAAGTTCCTCTGCTCCTGTACACATATCAGAGCCATCGTCCTTGTCCCTGTCCACTCCCTAGTATCAAGTAACACTGGCTAAGCTGCTGGATTACTTTATTCTTCAGCTGTGTCTGTTCTACAGGCTAACCATTGTACGGTATGCCAAACAGACAGCGCAGTATGAAGACCTACCTGAGACTAACTCTAGTTTCTCAGCAGGGTCTCCATCCTCGTAGAGTTTAGGGTGACAGCGGTTGCCTATCTGTGCGATGAGCTCCGCGGGCAGACACGTCAGATCTCTGCCTCTCATCCTACCCCGCGTCTCTGTGTGGTCTGGTAGAGCTTCCACACGCTCGCCAGCAGCTGCTGAAACACAATGAAACCACTTTAGGATGAAATGAAAAAAAAAGAAACTTTATTTGTTTAATTTATAGACTGATTTAGAAATGGATGCCTGCATTAAAACCACAGAAATTGGGACCGAGGCTAAGGCCGAACGAGTTACGACCTAATTATTCATTCATCCTCTGTGAGAAGGTTAAATGGTAAGATCAAGGTGAGGTAGGTGGGAAAGGAGCATCCACCAAAGACTAAGAACAGTAAGGCTGCAGGGAAACAGTTTTTGTAGTAGTGTAGTAAGTAGTCATCAGTATCATGGGACATCTGCAGATAATGTTTGGAAATATTAAGGGAGTCAAAATGAATGCATTAATTGAGTTAATTATTTTTGTGAAATAACTTTAGATTAATTTTTTTTAAATATTTTTAATGCATGCAAAGAATGATGCAGGCATTTGTTGTTGTTTTGCAGGGATCTTGTAAAGAAACATTAAACTGAATCAAGTGCAGTTTCCCACAGATTTTTTTTCTTCTTTTTTTGTAAAAAATTATGTCAATAATTAAGAAGGTAAGCCAGGTGGGATCAACTACATTTTAATTAACAACACTGCGCTAACGTCCTCTTTCCTCCATTACCTGCAGCTCCCATGTTGAGCATACTGTACATGGTATACATGTTACAGATTTGCCGATATTGTTCTTCGGCACATTCATCGGTCCCCTCTTCTTCCTCCTCATCATCATGGTAGCTGATGGGTGAGTCACTAGTGTAGGTACTCAGGGTGCCGGGGCTGGCGCCCTCTGACATGCCCAGTCCTGCTGTGGAGTTTCCATTTGTGCTGGCATTTCCACTTAGCCCGCCACCGGACGCCATGCCCGTCGCTGTGGCACTCATACCCACGGCCAGGCCGAGGCCCCCAGGGCTCTGGATGGCACTGCCACGCACTGCCTCCTGGGAATAACGAGCTGCTTTCCGAGCACCCCCCCCTCCAACTGAGCCCACCCCACCTCCATCCCGGCTGCTGCTGCCCTCCCACAGCCGCTTGGCCACAGGGGTGCACACCACCGAATAGGGAGTGGCGGCTTCTGGCTGACTGGCCGGCTGCTCTGCCTTAACTCTCGACACCAAAGGCAGCGGGGTTAGGCAGGACACAGGTCGCGTTGCATTGTTATTGGTCTGAGTGACGGGGCTTTGAGGCTCAGAGGGCGGAGCCTCCTCTGTATGAAGGCCCTGGGAGTCGCAGCTCGGGGAGGAGACCTAAAAACGACATCATACTTGTAAATGAACATGGTCAAAATTATTGATAGCAGGTTGCTGTGCATTGTAGAGAAAATAATTAGCTTCAGGGACGTGTGATGTGTTTATTTATGTAAGTTAGACACAGAAAAGACAGAGAGCATTTTTTTATTCTCAGGACATTAGTCCAAACAGTTGACTGAGCAAGTGTCTGTAAACCACTTAAACCTTTACCTTGAGGAAGAATTCAGTGCCTTTTTCCATGATCTGCTGAATCTGCAGGAAGCCAGCAGTGTACATGAGAAGAAACTGGTCCCCCACAGTCATGCTCAGACGGCCTGTGTAGCAGAAAGCTAGAATCTGCTGGAAGCTCTGGGGCTGGACTGCAGGTGGGAGCTCCACAACCGTCGGGCTGGGCTCATTGTTGGATCCACCTACACCATTGCTGCAGTTACTGCTGAAAAGGTCCCGGAAATAAGAACTGCTGGCAGCCAGAACAGCCCGGTGAGCCTAAAAGGAAAGGAGGTGAGTCAAGTTTCCTTTTTTTTAGCTGCATTTAAGATGTGCTAGGTATGTGCTCGTCCTTTTTTATTCTTCAAATGTCTTAGATCAATACTTTGCTCAGCAAGAAATTGCATTAGATAAATGCACTGTTGTGACACACAGAGGCCAAATTACAAGATGAGACAAAAACCAGTGATTAAGTCAAACTTGAAGACACATCTTAGTCCACGTCTGTACTCAAAGAGTAAACAAGGGGAGAAACAGTTTTCTAAACAATAAAATTACATTTATTTTGCCAAATTATAACAGTAAACAATGATTAAAATACATAGACATCTATACTTAATTGTTTATTTCCCTCTTGCATTAATGTGTTAAATTTTGTCATCAGTAAATATAGGTAAACAGGTGCTTAATTATAAAATACTAAGCTCAGAAATGTATTTAATTTACCAGGTTTTTATAGATATACTCTCTTCAATTATAACTACAATTAGAAAGAAAGTAAAAAAACAAAACATCTCCCTCAGTTCTTTCCAACTGTGTCTGTGTCTACATTTCCCATGACTTTAAACAGCATGAAGGATAGTTTGCTTCTCGTAAAAACAAATACAAAACTCTGAGTACCTTAAAAGTATGACCTTTGACCACCACGGACACATCACAGTAGAGGCCCTGAAGTCGCTGCTCATTCAGACACTCTAAAATGTTGTTGCCGAAGTTTGGGATCGCCATCTGAAGAGTCTGGGCCATGGTGCGCCTTCGCACACCACTGAAGGGTCTGGTTGGTAAAGAGAGTAGAAATATTAAATAAATAAATGTGGAGTATAATGACATTTAGTACACTTCCTAGACCACAAACGTACAATTTTCAGTCTTCATTGTCTTTTACAAGGATGTAAAAGTGTTATAAAAGGTCAGTCACTGACTGTCACTAGTTTGCTACTCTTTGGCATAGTTGTTTATAAATTAAGAATGCAAGAAAATATCGCAGTATATTGCAATATATTGCGTTGTCCGTCCCCGTATCATGCTACATATTGTATCACTAGATATTTGCCATTACGCAGCCCTACTGGAAATACAGTCCTATTGCGACATAGGTCAACTCTGGACTGTTTGCTTTGCCTCATAACAAGCTTATAATATTGCTACAAGTGCTATGCAACATGATCTGCTTCCTTTTGCAAGTTTGTCCAGTTATTGTGAGTTAGAAAAGCATATGTTCTGTTGATTTTATATTGGTGAAATACTCCTGTTTCCATCAGTTGCTTTGATTACAGTCTATTCCTGTCATGGAAGCTTGGTCACCTGAGTCCTGGGAGGGTGTACGGCAACTACTTTGGTAATAGATACACTGTCTGCAGGAATTTTAATAATGACCCAATGTCACAGTGCTGATGTGGGTTAAAGCTGTGGTTCCCAAACTTTCTCTGCAGCCCTTTTGTTGATAGTAACATTGTCAGGGCCCTTCACATCATCGTGTTCACAGCTATTTTATTTTTGTACACTGTAATTCCAACAGTGTTTTCCGAGAAGAATAACCCACTTTATTTGCTATTGTATTTGTACAGACACACATACACACTATGATTGTTGCTCTGCTTCTTTGGTATGTGGTGAAGTCTGAAGAAACTGGGAAGAAGTGTAATAGAGTGGTGGCAAGTTTTTTAAGTGAACATTAATCTTTAAGGAGCCGCACGTCATTTCAGCCTTGCAGTACTTGTTATTGCCAGAGGCAACAGAATGCCCTTTTAGTATCTGTATCATTAAAAAGACAGTGTCCTCATAAAACTGGGTCATGGTCTGCTATTCTGCGTGCAAACGTGTGTGGTCTAAACAAACATCACGTAATATGTTCCCAGTCACTTCCTCAAACAGACTAAGCAAACAAATCTTTTTGCTATGCATGTGTTGGAGGCTTTTCTTTTGTTCTGTAAACATTTCCCTGAACAATATGGAGAGGAACAGTAGCATGTAAAATGTATGTGGTGGTGGTGATGATGATGATGATGATCAGGAGTGTGCATGCATGACTATGGCAGATGATTACGCATTCTGTTACTTCAAATGATGCAAAACATGCACAAACACACAGATATACACCACATAAAGACAACGTTGAAAATAACATGGATTCAAAATCACGGAAGCCACGTCCATAACAAATATACAACCAAGTTTGGTGTGTCTAGCTAACAAGGGCTGGAGTGAGCCACACCATCATATCCAAAGCCTTTGGTTTGGGTCGTAGCCAAGCTCCAGGGTAAAGAGAAATACTCCCTTTGTCTCCGTCTCACTCAAGCTCCCTCTCCCTCATACTAAAACACAGATGCGCACACACAAACTCAAACAAACCCACAAAAGGCACACTGAGTCACACACAGACATAAGACAATACTGCTTGTTTACAGTTTGGCGAGCCAAAGTGAGCACACATGTATGCACTGAAAGACACACGAACACAGGCCTGAGAGCTGGGTGTGTTTGCTCTGTTTGCACTGGCACTGAGAGAGACTGCGACTGTGTGTGTGTGTGTGTGTGTGTCCTTACATCACCAGGGGCAATTGGGTCTGCAGATATGATGGCAATCATCAGTTCAAGTGTGAGTTAGTAAAAATAGATGACCCATTGAAGTTGGAAACTGGTAATTGTAACGTACATAAGACTTTATATTTTTAAGTTTTAAAAACTTTATTTCAAGGAGGACTGACTTTACAGTAAAAAAATATATTAAGGGCCTAGTGGTCCTCCTTTCATTATTTCAGCCAATTTTAACAAATTATGATTTTACAAACAAATTTTAACTTTTTTTTGTTCACATCAATTGTCTCTGTTGACATGGCATTTGAATCCCCACTGTCTTAAACAGTTTATTGGAATTGCTGGTTAGGACAGGGAGCAATGCAATAGTTACTGCAAAGGTTGTGTATACTTTAAACTTTTTCCAAGTCAGTTTCCCCAGTGGTTTCTTAGAAAAGTCACCAAGAACTACTCCTTCTTCTAACCCTTTGTTCTTCATCTAAGAACTGATCTTACCCTCCCCCCCCCCACACACACACATTTAAAAACAATATAGAAATATTAATCAAATTGTTCTTTGTACAGTTCAGTAGATATTTAATGTCTTGAACCTGTCTTGTAATTGTTATTGTCTTGTAGTTTGTTAATATGAATGAGCTAGCACACCATCAACTGTTCCTGGTTGTGTTCATTGTGTCCGTGATCATAATAATATATAATAACATCCAAAATATATGATTAAATAGTCGTTTGACCATCCCATACAGTACATCAAGTTCTCTGGCCACATCAAAGCTGTTGAAGGGACTCAGATCGGCCCCAGAGCTGGACTCTAGACACCTATGTTATTGACTTCATTGACAATGAATGGCCTGTTGATGTATGATGATCTTCACCAGCATGTGTATTGTAAAAAGCTGTGTAAATACTGTCCTGTTTATCCAGTTTTACACTTCAACACACCATAGACTCGTGGGGAAGGTACAGTAACTGTGGAATCCGTGGTGCAATTGGCACACAATGCATTCTCTCTGTGGGCATTTCCTGGTTCTTATGTGCCCATGCCTGCATAGCTGAGCTGATCAAGTCAGGACAGACAGGCCTGATCCATGACTGTTTTTATATGAGCTGGCAAAGAATGGGCAGCAAAACACAGAATTTATTACATTATTTTTTTAATAAAGTTTCCCCGAACCTTTATGTGTTTATTGATAATAAACGAGGATAAGAATAGGGCTTGAGAACTACCGCGGTGTGCCAGTCTGTACACCGCGGTAGTTCTCCAATGTCCGCTGGCACCGCAGCCGGGAGGGGGGCGACAAAACATGGGTGAAACCCGGTCACAGCGACAGGGTGTTACAGTAACAAGACGACTTGTCAAAGTAAACAGCATTTAGGTCTTGGCCGTTTAGTTATTTCTAATTAATGCTTTCCTTTTTTTACTGGTGGCAGATGTTGGTGAAATATTTACAGCCCTATTCCATCTGCAGCAGGCCTACAGAGCTGGCTAATAGCTGCTAAGCTAACGGTACAGTTAAATATTTTGGGTTCGCACCGTCCAGCCTCATGTACAATGTCAGGCATTTCCTAGGCCAGTTGACTTATTCACAACCATAAAACAACAACACACTTACTGACTGTGCCGATGAGGTAGTAGAGCTGGCTGCGACGCCGGCTGTCAAGCCCAAATGTTGCTTATTTAATTATTTTGGTGATGGGGGAAATCGCTGCCCCTGCCATTCTTCATTCTACCGACATCAACAGGTCATCCCAGGACACGCAGCAGCAGCTACGGCGGCGGCGGCGGCGGCTGAGGGCGAGCCAGACGGAACCAGTGCCTCACAGAGCGGGGGGTGGTGGGAGCACGTATCAACAACGAGGCACAATTCTTGAACCACCGGCGCTCACAGGAATAGCCGTGCCAAAAAGGTGACTGAGAAGACCGCCATCACCTTTTCACATACGTGCGAGAAGAGGCTCGTGGTGTTAACCGTTAAACTACAAACACCGCTTACTGTTGGCCAAAAGGCGCCGATATTTCTGTCCCGTAAAAACAAAGTTCATCCCCGGACACCTTTTTTTCTGAACACACGTTCTTTCCAAACTTTTACTGTACTGTATCCTTAACTTGGACCACCTGGAGATAACGACCACCGTCGCAGACACCCCCTGCTCCTCCCCCTCCCACTCCTGTTGCTGCTGCTGCCGCCGCTGGCGGATCCTTATACGACCCCGGCGACAGGACGCCCTCGCTGTAAAGTCAGACACATTACTCACCTCCCTCGCCGGGAAGTTGATGTAAAGAGAGCGGCGGGGGTCGGGGGGGGGGCGCCGCCGCCCCCCCCCCCCCCCTGCCCCCCCCCCCCCCCTGCCCCCCCCCCCCCCCCCTGCCCCCCCCCCCCCCCCTGCCCCCCCCCCCCCCCTGCCCCCCCCCCCCCCCTGCCCCCCCCCCCCCCCTGCCCCCCCCCCCCCCCTGCCCCCCCCCCCCCCCCCCTGCCCCCCCCCCCCCCCTCCTGTTGCTGCTGCCGCCGCTGGCGGGTCCTTATACGAACCCGGCGACAGGACGCCCTCGCTGTAAAGTCAGACACATTACTCACCTCCCTCGCCGGGGAGTTGATGTAAAGAGAGCGGCGGGGGTCGGGGGGGGGGCGCCGCCGCCCCCCCCCCCCCCCCCTGCCCCCCCCCCCCCCCTGCCCCCCCCCCCCCCCCCCCCCTGCCCCCCCCCCCCCCCTGCCCCCCCCCCCCCCCTTCCTGCCGCCCCCCCCCCCCCCCCCCTGCCCCCCCCCCCCCCCCCTCCTGTTGCTGCTGCTGCCGCCGCTGGCGGGTCCTTATACGAACCCGGCGACAGGACGCCCTCGCTGTAAAGTCAGACACAGTACTCACCTCCCTCGCCGGGCAGTTGATGTAAAGAGAGCGGCGGGGGTCGGGGGGGGGGCGCCGCCGCCCCCCCCCCCCCCCTGCCCCCCCCCCCCCCCTTCCTGCCGCCCCCCCCCCCCCCCTGCCCCCCCCCCCCCCCCCCTGCCCCCCCCCCCCCCCCTGTGCCTGCTGCGCCCGCCGCTGGCGGATCCTTATACGACCCCGGCGACAGGACGCCCTCGCTGTAAAGTCAGACACATTACTCACCTCCCTGGCCGGGAAGTTGATGTAAAGAGAGCGGCGGGTTCAGAGGAGGCGACGCAGCGCTCTCTCTCCGCACTTTTCCCCGCTCCTGCTCCAGACAGCCATTCAGTGTGTGCGAAACGCCGACAGTAGAGCCATGGAGGGCGGTACAGTATCCCGGGGGATCGCGGAACACAGAGCCACCGATCGCACTGTGCAGGAGAGGAGGAAGACGAGCATGACGCGCTCGTCATTCAAACGCATGATCGCTCCGAGCGCAGCCTCGGTTTGGGAGGCGGGGGGAGTCCCATCCCATCCGACAGTGTGGGGTGTTTGCGCATTGGCACAGGAACAGCAGCATTAACAAACCTGCAAGGAGAAATGGATCGTCTCTCATTGCCCCCTTTGTGCTCCCCCTCCCCCCTCCGTCTGCCTCTCTCTCCCTAACATAGGTTTGAGAAGATTAGGAAAAGTAGGCCGCATGTGTCCATTTAACTTGAGTGAACTCTGGGTCGCAGTACGGCCGCGCCCCAAACAAACTGAAAAAAAAATTATGTGAAAGAATGATGTTACAAGAAGCACTTGCCCTGCTTAACATTGTTATTGCGTAACATTATTTCAAGCGCCAACTTGTATAAAGTGGACATTTATTTCCTCAACTGTAATGACTCGCAGAGATACTCGGGCTCGTCACTGTAAGATCCTTTAAAATAGAGACTAAAATAGACTGAGTAAGTGATACAAACCATATCTCTAACAGATATAGGTCTGAGAAACAGGAAAAATGTTTAGTTCAACACAAAAATCTCCATTTACTGACATTTTTGCAGTTAAATCTGTGGAGAGATTTAAGGAAACATTTGTGTAGTTCTTTATGTCTCAGAGAATGTGAACGTTACATTCTCATTGCTCTGTTTTTCTATTTAAAAAATGTGTTAAATATCTGTGGCACAAATAATGACAACTACATTTTACTCTAAAGAAAGCCATTATAAAGCTATTGAAAAAGTACATTTAACTATTAGTAGAATCTTTAAAGTTAATGAGTTCTATTTTAGGCGAAGCCTGGATGTTGTTGCACCACCTAGTGGCAGCTTATGAACCCTCAGCGGTGCATGGACCCCGCTCGAGGAATCCCTGATCTACAGCATTTAAACTCATAACATGCAAGAATGGCAACTACCAACACCACTAGGAGGCCCTACTGATAATATCTGGGTTTTTTTTGTTTGTTTGTTTGTTTGTTTTTTTGCAGTGACTGAATATCACTGAATATAGCAAAAAACCGACTTTGTGTCATGCATGGTCTACCTGAGTCTGTGTGTAATCTCAGCAGTTATCCTTGACGTCTGGTCATCACTAAGCTGTTGGCATGAGGAATTAATATGTAAAATGTTGTCAGTGTCAGTGTGGACAGTGTGTGGGAATACAAGCAGTTAAGAATCTTGTATAGGTAAACGTACAAGTTCTTTCAAAGCCCATTTGTTTTGAAGGAAATAGTTGCACGATTATACATATATCACCCATGTATAATTTAGTGAGATTAAACCTTAACTTAATTGGATCAAACCTCAATATGTATCCCCTTTAAATCATTCTTATCATTTTAGATATAACAACCACCAACCACATAACCACTGCCTTCTACTGATGGTCACTGAAAAGTAGTGTTTTTTTAACAGTTGATGAGGGTTACTGTGGTTGTGTGTACCCTTGCTGTTCCCGGTTAAAGAGACACATTTAATTTGTCTAGCAAATAAAGATGGGAAAGATTAAGACTGAAGGAATCTGTCAGGACAGAGTGCCTGGTCAGATTCCACGTTTTCCTGCTGCCGGCCCCTTGGCACTGAGACTGGCAGCAGAATGCTGTGACTCCGTCCCAGCAACAGCATCACAAATTTGGGCAGGCTGCTGTGCGATTCACAGCCAATCGGAGCATGTACAGTCTCAGATCACTCTCTTGTTAGCCAATAGTCAGTATGGAACTGCTGAGAGTTATCCCTCCCAGATGTGAATTCCCTGCCAGCCACAACGTACACAAGTGTAGACCGAAATATGCGATTCTGTCTTAAAGACAGAGCATGTATACACATAGTGACTGTAAATATGAATATGTAAATGTGTGTGAGACAAACCCGAGTCAAAATAACGTTTCTGTGTGGCGAGTTGAATTACGGTACTGAGAAAGTTTACGTTAGCTTCATTAAATAACTTAAGTTCCAACGTTTTACAGCTTGGTCCTAAGTCAACCTTAATTTACACAGAGCGTTGTCTCCCTCCTGTGGACACATTGAATAATGCAGATGTTTAAAGGAACGTTGTTATTACTTAACACCATTTGTTTTAAAATTTTAAATTATATTTAGTTAAAATAGTTCAGTTCACTCAAAATAGTTTATTGGGATATTATTTGAATGTTACATACAGATGATTATACTGAATGACAAAAAAGAAACAACCAATTACAGAAAAAAAGAAATGCAAGTTTGTGTCTTCTGGTCATCACTTAGTCTGAAAGGTAAAAACAGAATACAATTTTAATTTGTACAATGTACAAATATTTAGTAATAATAATTACATACATTTTTAAAATGGTCTGAAAAAAAGCACTAAGTAACAAGTTTGCTCTGGAATACCAAAATGACTGGCTGTAGACTCACCTTAATTATGGTCAAAGAAACACTATAGATAAGAGAGATGAGGAAAAGAAGCAGGAAAGCTAAGACCAAGTACCAGCTGTCCACATCAATATCTTGGTAAATGTCAGCATGCAAGATGTCATCTAAGAAATTACAGCCATCCAAGGTGTCTGTCAAAGCATACAAAGTTTAAAATATATATAACTTTAGAGGAAAAAGCTTTATCTTTATATCCAAAATATAAAGAGTCGTACAAAACTAAATTTCGTATCACCTTCCCTGGTGCATATGACAATAAAGAGATTCTGATTCTGATTCTGAAATATCCAAAGCATAAGATGCTTTGGTTAAAAGCTCAAAAGACTATCACCTGGATTAGATATATTCAGAAATAGTGTCGTGTTTGCATGTGCCACCACACAGGTGATGACTGCGCCAGGTATCCAGTTGTGAGCAGACAGAGGAAGGTGGCTTTGGATGCTGAACTTTCCATTTTGACTCATTTGGGACTCGGTAGTATTGAAGTTTGACAGTTGTTTAGTTTCGTCGAGGAACCATGTAATGTTAATAGATGCTGGACTGAAGCCGGAGACCAAACAAACAAGTTTGTTTTTACCCTGGAGCAAGATGCCCGAAGGTTTACTGTACGTCACTGTGGCTGGAAAGAGAACATCAACATTCATTGTGTTGAACTAGATTTACTACAATCACATTTAATTAGAAAAACACCACAATGATTAGAAAGCATTTGTACTGCTATTTACTAAGGAATTCAAACTTTACTCACCAAACACATTCTCTATCGTACTTTTGTACAGATTCTCAGAGGACTCATGTAGGACTAAACAAGAATATGTCAAGCTTTTCTCGTGAGTTTTGTATATGTTTAGTTTGCTGCTCATTGAATATGAGCTACTCCCTTCATATGTCCATACACCGCTGTTGGTGAAGTGAGTTGATGGCAGCTTCTGGTCATTCTCTTCCCAATACACTATGATATTGGATGGGTAATATCCCGATATCAGACAAGTGAGTGTGAGGAGATCTGAGTTGGCGAGCTCAGAGGCGGTTGGTTGTATTATCTTCACTGTGGGCGGAAGTAAATCTGAAGACCAAATGAATCAGTTAATAAGATGTTGAAGTCAGATATTGATTTCCCAAGTACAGTTTTTATCAACATTCTATATGAAGTGTCAAGTACATGTGTTCTGTGCTGAATACCTACCTTTGCTCTTGCTCATTTGGTCCTTGTATCCCTGGTCGGAGCACTGGTGCTTTGCTTCACAGGACACGTTTTCATAAGCGTCCCAGTCTCTTGGTGACAAATGCATGCAGCTTTTCAAGGTCTCTGTCCCATTACTGTGCCCCACTGGTTGCTCTGTATGTACATTTGAGGATTGTATTTTCCCGTTCACTTTCCAAGTGATGAGAAAATCTCCCAACTGAGGCCCAACCAGAAGACAGGTGACAGTCACCTGTCTTTTGTTTAGCAGCTCCTGAAGTGGAGGCCCCTGAACATAAACACCAACGATCTGGGAGGAAGCTGGAACCCCTGAAAAGATATGAATACAACACAGAAGGAAGTGAGAAGATGTGTTTAAATATTGGGATAAAATTTAATTGTTAAACAGTAAAAATTAGAACTCAGAAACCTGGTCTTAAATCCAAGTTAACTTAAAAGAAGTAGAACAGCTTTTGTCTTTTTTTACCTAGATAAAAATACTGCATTACCAAACTAAAAACTGAAGTCAAGTTTATTGTATTTTCTGTAAAATTGAGTTAATAAATGTCAATTGTTAAAGACTTTTACATGATTTGGAAGTTAGTTTTATTTTTACCTGAGCAGAAGCTGAGACTATCGTTAGCACTTGTTTTCAAAGTCTGATCAGACACTTCACAGATGAGGACTTTTCCAGTTTTCCACTCTGTCTGTGTGACACTGACTTCGCTGGTCACTGAAACACGTCCATCAGCTCTTAAGGTGGTGCCTTCATTTAAGGGAATTAGATCAGGAAAAAATTTAATTTGAGGATTAACTCCATGGCCAGAGCATATTAGTCTCTGTGGTCCAGAATCTTTACTAGAAACCAGAAGAAGTTCCACAGAAGGATCGTCTAAATGAAAACAAAATCAGTGTGTCAATGAATTATACTAAAACTTGTCTGAAATAATAAATAAACAGTACACCTGGTCTCACCAAAAATGTTGCCAGTTGGTTTTGACTTAAATGTGGAATCAGTGAAGCCTTGATGGACAGTACAGGTAAAATGAAAGTCTTTCTTCCGGTAACTTGGAGGGATGGAGAAACTCCTGGTGACTGAATGAAGGTCAGAGGTTGCAGGCAGATCGACATACAGTTTTTCAGAGATGTCAACACCGTTGGCTTGAAAGGTGACGTAGAGGTCGTTAGAGGAGAGTTTTGTAATGTCACAATGGAGTACAACACTTTCTTCCTTCAGTAAATCTGGGAGAGACCTCCTGATCTCCACTGATGGAGGGGTGACTGCAGGCCCTGGTGAGGAAGCACAGCAAAATGAAGTCTTAACATATAAACATGTTTATGTGGTGAATTATTTAGTCACCTTACCTCTGACTTTAACGCTCTCGGTAGATGAAAAGCATGTGTGGTCAACTTTACAAGATATGACCTTCAGTTGCTTCCACTGTCTTGATGCAACAGTCACTTCAGAGATTATATGAGTTGTGTTTTGTGTTTTGTTCACTGTGTTTGCTCGTGGATTGTTTCCATCCATCACCCAGGTCACCGTGGCATCAAAGGTTGTGTCAACATAACATGTGGCTTTCACTTTAGAAGCTTCCATGACAGAATGGAAACTGGGAGTCTTCATACTAATGCAAGGAGGTCCACTTGTATAAACTAGGGATGAAAAGTGCATTATCAAAGTATTACTATACAGAACAAATCATTTTGTGTGTCAACATCAACAGTGGTTACATTGATTGTTTTTTACATGCAAGAACAGGTGGCATTTTCTAAGACACTGTTACGACAATAAATATTTGGAACCTAAGGCAGATTGAAATGTTATTTTTTCCCCAAACTTGCTCTTCAGTAGTTATGAGCCTGTCAACAGTCTGTTGACTTTGTCACCTGATTATCATCTCTATTATGTTCCAGACCCTTTCAACAAAAGACAGACCTGGACTGTAGGCAGACACCTGAGGATTACCGTATAAGGCGCACCGCATTACAAGGAGCACTATCAATGAACGGGAATATTTACATACATAAGGCGCACCGGGTTATAAGGCGCATTAAGCGAAACAAAACAGTCAGTGGAACAATCAAGCATGTCCGGATCCCTCTCATCATTATCTGATTCAGTCTGGTTGCTGTTATTTAGCTGTTCACTGATTATTCTGGCCTTCGTGAATGCTCGGACGACATTTCAGACTGTTACCTCGTCCAGACATCCACGATCCATTGGCAGATAGTGGCGTAACTCGTCCGGCGTTGCCTCCCTGTCTTGGTGAATGTGTGTTCGCCTTCTGTCATCCAATGCTCCCACGCAGCTCGTAATTTAACTTTGAACGCCCTGCTAAAACCAATGTTTAGCGATTGGAATTCTGTGGTTAATCCACCAGGAATGATGGCAAGCCCCGGATTAGTTTGCTTCACTTGGGTTTTTGACAATATCGGAGAGATGGGCGCGCATGGAGTCACAGATCAATAGGGATGGAGATTTGTAGAAAAGGGTAGTGACCTAGGTTGGACGCTGGAGGACGCTTTTGTCACTATTTTTGTTCTGGGTGGTCACCGTATTGTTGTTTTGACGCTGTTCCGTGCGGATATTGTTTTGCAGAGAGAGTGTGTTTTTCATGTTTCGATAAAAAAAGGAGAAATAAAAAGAGTCCTCTACCACGAAAAAAATCGACTGCCATTCGTCTCAGTCGTCCTGCATCGCACCATACATCGACTATACATAAACACAACTCAGGAGTCTCCGGGTGTTTGGAGGCACGACGCGACGTTGCGCGGATTTGAGTTACACAACCATCCTGTAATTATTGTTGTCGAGCATCTTTTAATTGTGATAACAGAGTTAAACGTCATTGTTGACTCCCACTGTGCTTCAGTTGTATGCCATCGTGTGTGATGCGCTGTGTGGTTTGGCTTTATAAAATCGGTTCGAGGTCAGTAAGCGCAACCAAAAGTAATACATAAGGCGCACCGAGTTATAAGGCGCACTGTCGATTTTTGAGAAAATTAAAGGCTTTTAAGTGCGCCTTATAGTGCGGAAAATACGGTAAGTCTGAAAAACATAGCTTTTATTTTTGTGCAGTGCTGAAAAGAACATCCTTGCAGTATTCTTGACAGGTGCAAATATCCCTCCAGTATTCTACGGGGATGCCTTCACATCAAATTAACCTTTTACATATACTGTGTGTAACTCACCCATGAAAAGAGCACTGACGCCCCATGATCTTATCAAAGATTTTATATTTTGCTAACAAACACTGGAAGAATTATTTAGTTCTACCCTAAGACCTAAGACAGCGTATAGTGAAATTATTTGTCACAGACACTGTTCTCAAAGGACAGCTGGGGAAATGATCGTTTATGTGTTGTACCTGAGCAGAAGCTGGCATCCTTGCGAACCTTTCTCTTCAGAGTTGCATCAGAAATGTCACAAGTGACAACATCTCCTGTTTTCCACTCGCTCTGGGTGATATTAAATTCACTGGTCACTGTTACACGTCCATCCTCCCCCATGGTGAAGTCATTGTTTGTTGAGGTTTCCTGAGAGTTAAAAATCCATTTCACTTTTGGATTAAATCCATGACCGGAGCAAACAAGTCTCTGTGGTTCTGACTCTTCACTGGGAACCAAAAGTTCCACCGACGGATCATCTTCAAATGAGAAACAAATCAGCGTATCAGTGAAACTTCAGATCAACTGTATTTTTGAGGCCTAGTTAAAACTGGTCTCACCAAAAATGTTGCCAGTTGGTTTTGACTTAAATGTGGAATCAGTGAAGCCTTGATGGACAGTACAGGTAAAATGAAAGTCTTTCTTCCGGTAACTTGGAGGGATGGAGAAACTCCTGGTGACTGAATGAAGGTCAGAGGTTGCAGGCAGATCGACATACAGTTTTTCAGAGATGTCAACACCGTTGGCTTGAAAGGTGACGTAGAGGTCGTTAGAGGAGAGTTTTGTAATGTCACAATGGAGTACAACACTTTCTTCCTTCAGTAAATCTGGGAGAGACCTCCTGATCTCCACTGATGGAGGGGTGACTGCAGGCCCTGAAAAATAGGCACAGCATTTTTAACTGTTTTGATGGAATTGTTCTTTTCTATGTTGCATAGATAGCTTCAGACTAACCTGTAATATTTACACTCTTTGTATCAGGTTTGAAGCACTCATGTTCAACTTTACAAGATAGGACTTTGATTTGTTTCCACTGACTCGATGAAACAGTGAAGTCACTGACCAGCTGAGTTGCACTTCCCGTTTGTTTCATTGTTTCTGTAGCTGTAACATTTTCATCCAGCAGCCAGGTTATTTTGGCGTCAAAGAACGTTTGAACAGCACACGTTGCATTTACGGCAGATGCTTCCATTACTGTCTGAAAACTGGGAATCTTCACATGAATGAAAGGAGGGGCATTTGCATAAACTGTGGGAAAGATAGTTTTTGAAGGTTATTTTGTACCATGTTCCTACAGATAATCTATGTAAAAACAATGTTCATGTAACGCCTTAAAACATATGTACTCACTTTGACAGACATTTATTGTTTGGATATACTCATTGTTTTCGTGATTGGCCTTGCACTGTATTGTGGAGCCACTTTTCCATCCTGTCCTATCCAGGTCAATCTCACTCTTCAGGCTGTAGACGTTATTCTTTCCTGGCCTGTTCTCCAGCATTGTTTGCTTAGTAACATTTTTTAGAGGTTGGTTTCCCTCCTGCCATTTCACAGTCACGTTGTTTGGGAAGAAGCCACTTAAAAAGCAGATGAGTTTGACTGGGGAGTCACCTTCCCACACAGGGTACAAGGTGATGTTTGGAGGGACAACCCGATGAACTGTGAAGAAAACATAGATTACGTTATTATTGCTTGTTTTACTCAAATTATGTATAAAGGCTTCACACAAGCTAAGATAAGATAACTTTGGTTATACCTACC